GGGAAAGATTGGAGGGGGGGGGGGGGGGGGAGATAGAAGTATCACAAAATGGAGCTCGCAGCCCCGGGCAGGGGCACAACCTCCCCGATTCCTTTCTGCTTTCCTTTGCCAGGACATGAAGTCCAAACAAAGCCCCAAACAAGCCCTGATGCCCAGAGGATGGTTCCCAACTCCTCTAGCATCAGGAGCTGTGCCTTTGGCTCCCCCCACGCTTCTCGCCAGGCTGAATTTAAGTTGCTTGTCAGAAACCTTTATCAAACCGCGAGCAGCACGTGATGGGTTTGAGGAGCTTCCTGCCCCTTTGCAAGTGAGCGAGGCCTCCTGCCTGGTAGGTGAGCTCTCCTCCCCGTCTCTACGGTTATGCAAAAGGTCACGTCAGACCCTGATGAGCCAAAAGCCACTGCTATAGTGACAGATGTTTGCAGCTGGCCCCAAGCCCAGAGAAGGGTAACCTGCCTAGACCCCAAGTGAGCAGTCGCCAGTCAGCCAGTTCTCTCTCTCCCACTTCCTCCTCTCAGCATAGGTCAGGTACCCATTAACAGGTGCAGGAACCTTAATTTGAGGACACGGGATGTAGAACATCCTTCCCCTTTGTCTGTCCAGCCTGGGGCTGGTGATGTGTGGGAGCCTTGGTGGTAGAAGCCCAGAAAGACCAGATGACACAGGCCACCCCATCGGTGACTCGAAAGGCTGCACCCCTTGTGCTGCTCAAATGTAGATGCTGAGGCTTTGGAGCCAGCTTGGCCTTGGGAGAGGAAATTAGTGATGGCGAGTCAGGATATTTCTTATCCTGCCTTTTTTTTTGTTTGTGCCCTCTGCATCTGCCCGGCCACAACCAGAAAAGTCCCTTTTCCAGAAGCCTTAGCCCAAATGCAATGCCTCGTTCCCAGGAAGCCACTCCAGCGAAAGACTTGACTGCAGCCAGAGAGATGAAGGCAAACAGCAAACTTCTGCATGCAAAAACTTCCCCAAAGAGCCTCATCACAAAACTGTCTAGCCAGCTTTCCTTCAAAGACTTGGTGCGAACGTTATGCACACACCAAGCCACAAAAGCCTGTCAGCTTACATGCAATGGCACTATCTGATGACTCTTTTCACAGTAACATTCATTATAGCATCTGCTGGAGGGCTTGTTAGAACTTAAATCAATACCCCACCAAACTGAGATCTAGGAGGGGTCAAACCCCAAATGGATTTTCAGACAAAAAAGGGAGTTTTAACAAAACCATTCTTGAAGAATTCTGGAGTTTTTGTCCAAAGAAAATCAGAAACCATGCAAATCCAAAATATTCCCTTTATGATCTGCAGTCGAGATGCCTGGTAAGAATGATTCTTGGCTTTCCTCGCATCTCCATTCTCTTCTGTGGGCTGGGCTCGCCAGATGGCCTACAATTCCCC